AGTGGTATTTATATTTAGTTGTTCTACAACACAAGTATAAAACAGAGTCCTGCAACTGGAAGTTAAACTGTTCTACTTGAAGAAAACAAATCCTATTGACTCTATTGATAAGTTGTTTCTTGAAAGGCTGACAGTAGTGGAAAGTGACAATTATGGATAGTAAAGACTGAAGAACTCTTCAGTGGCCTAATAAAACCAAGTAATTATGCAACAGATGGCAGATGGAATACACAGCAAGCTTTGAAGTCTATCTTTTTCTAGATCCAGTCAGCTTAGCTGGCTATCACAGGAGGTAAGTCAGCGGATTCCCCTTTGAATAAGCAGTTGCCAGTGACATTCAGTCCTACCATAATGAATACAAGGGCTAACACAATGCTAAGTCCTTGGTTGGCTGTGAAAGAGGGAAAGATATGTTGAATTTCTTCCCCTTTCCTCCCTGTCATAAGTGTATACATTCTATTAATTCAGTTTAATGTACTTGTAACTTCATTTCAGTTAAAATAGTGTGTACCGTTTTTTACATCACCAATCACCAAAACCACAGTAATAAAAGAGCCCTTTGGAAAGGCATATATATTTAAGTCCTGTGAAGAAGACTGCAATGTGTGTGCCAAACACTGGAAGTGAGGAAGCATTAACCATCATTGAATGTACAGAAGATGGGGAAGAGTTAAAATGCACTTTCAATATTTCCTCCTAAACAGGAAGTGCTCCTAAAACTGAATCACTGAGCAATATGTTTGAAGACTACTTGAAAATGGAAAATATTTTTTTAAAAGAAATGCTGGAATTTTAATTTTTTTGGCAAAATATTACTGTCAAAGTTGTTTGATCAGCTCAAACTCCATATATATGTCCCTGGTAGAATTAATGCTTCATCTCCAGTTGTCAAGAATTACCATCTAGATAGAAAGTGGTGATAGTATTGACCATGAAACCCTGCTTAGAAGGTAGCTGTGACAACCTGTGCATACACAGTTGCATTTGTGTATGTAAGAAAATATAGTAAGAATCTAGCTAGTTTTTAAATGCACTAGACCAAAATATGCTTTCAGCTATGTTCTCAACATTCCTACTGAAATTAAGATTTTTGCATTACGCATACATCACTGTACTAAAATTCATTTTGAAAGGAATATTATATCAAAATGTCATTTATATCCATATATACTGTTGGGGAAGGGCCCATCTTTATGATATGTGTGCGTACCCTAACCTGTTCCTTAATCAGACTTTCTAGTGCTAATGCAATGCAATGCAAACAATAAACAACATGAATTTTAAAGAAGTTCATCAGAATCCTGATTGCAGAAATGGGGCCTTGGTTTTTCAGACATAGGCTGAATATCAATATCTTAATGTGTGCATGTTAGGGAAGTGTAATATTGTGAGCAAATGTAAGAGATGATGAGCAAAACATGACTGCCATGAGATGACACAGAGCAGTGATTCTCAAACATGATGTCATGGTACTCTGGAATGCTGCAAGATCCTTCCAAGAGAGCTGTGGTGCCCGGCTCCTCTGCCAGGAGGTAAACTGATAGTTCTTCCTCTCATTTCAGCATCCCACAGACAAATGGCACTCACAGCTGCTCCCTGTCCTCTGATAGTGCCTGTGCCAGCTCGTGCCCCCCTCCCCCAGCAGCAGGCTCTGCTTTGCACACGAGCGAACAGGTGGGTGTCCAGGGGAACATGGAGCCATGGCTGCACTTTCAGCCTGGATTGTCTCCAGTTCCTCTTTGCCCCCTCCTCAGGTTGGCAGGAGTAACCATGGGCATACAATAGCACTGGAGTCCCTGGAGGAGCAGGCCTAAACCAGGGCTAGAAGGAGGCAGATGGTGGAAAAAAAACAAGTGGGACAGAGGGGTGAGGTCCTGGCTCCACATCCCTACCTGGCAGGGGTGCTTAGCTAGGTGCCTCTAAATCAGGGGTGGGCAAAATGGCAGATATTCCATTTCCCAGCAAACCCTGCCCATGTTGCTGCGGCTGCTTTCCATGGAGACCCCAGAAGCAGCCCAGCCGTGACAGCATGGGGTTTCCACAGAGATGAGCCCCAGCATTGCTGGCAGGGCATTCAGCAGGATGAGGAGCTGCTCCGGGCCTGGGACTGGGATCCTGCATTAATGACAGTGTGGTCTGGAGCCAGGGCAAAGCTGCAATCCACTGCTCACATTGGCATCGCATAGGAGGTGCATGCGAGTGCACGTGCACCCCCTGAGATTGGTCGTGCACCCCCTGGAAGTGCCAGCTGAGAAACCAGAAGTGCCGGCAGGAAGCGTACTTTTGGTTTTGGTGCTGGCTCCGCGATCAGCCGCTGGGGGACACCCCCCTACCCCAGTCAGCAATCTGGTGCCCCGCCAGACTTGGGAGACATACCCTTGCCATGTGGGCAATGGATTGCAGCTCTGCCCCAGTTCCACACCATGCTGTCACCACCACAAGTTCATGGCCTCAGAGCAGCTCCCTGTCCTGACCCATGCCCTGGTAGGGCCAGTCTCCATGGAAACCCTGGCCCTTCCCTGTCATGTTTCTGGTGCTGCTGTGGTCTCCATGGAAACTGGCCACAGTGACACAGGCAGGGGCTGCTGGGAAATGGAGTCTGCTGTAAGCCCGATCCGGCCCAGGGGTCAGACTTTGCCCACCCCTGTTTTAATGCTAAAAAATTGTTGTGGGGCAGGCCCTGAGGCTAACAAGGTTGAGAACCACCGACAGATAGCCTAGCCATGCCCTCGTTTACCATTCTGCTTTTCCAGGTTCACCTTCACCCAGAACACTTTTCATGCAGTTAAAGAAACTTTTATTATTGTTGTTCCTGTTCATTATAATTATTACTAGTGTTATCATTAGTATTGTAGTTAACATTAGCACTAGTATTGTTATAATTACTACTATGACTAGTATTGCCATCATTATTATAATTGTTACTAAAGTTGTTTGTGATTACTATTGTTACTATGACTAGTATTTTAGTTATACT